ATCCAGCACGGTGATTGCTATACATTGGCTGCCAAGTCACCGAGCGCCAGATAAAAGTGGATGGGGACTACGATTTCGAATGAAAGTCGATTGGCTGGCTAAATCCGAAGTTCAAGTGATCCACACTATAAGACTTTTAACCCTTCGTTGGAGATTCGTAATCTTTTATTTTCGTAGTGGTTCAAGAGATATCCATGAAGATTGATTTACAAACCAATTTTGAGTTCGAATGACTCGAAAGCTCTACAAGATGCGATTGACTTAGCGGTTGAATAGGTTTAAACTGTGGCAACTGCCCTAGCTCCGCAAAAAACGATTTACATGCAACTAGTGTATGGGAGGTAATTAGGTCACTTGTATAGTGTTAATGGAATCCCTTTTGTTGCTGATGGATCGGTTAGAGAGTTAGGTTTTAATTGCAACAACAAATTGGGTTTTTCGGAACATGTAACCAAAATGATGGAAATGGCTTATACTCGTACATTTCAAATCTTTAATGGGTCATCTACCAGAAATAAAGAAGCATTGCTCCGTGCTCACAAATGTTCGGCAACTGGTCGTATCTAGTTCTGCTGTTTTCAATCCATCAAAAAGTAAGCATATATATGCATTGGAGAAGGTTCAGAATAATTTCACTCGTGAACTGTTACTCAATGGTTTCCTCTGTGACAAAGTACCAAAAGCTGCAATCAGGAACAGTTATCTGGAAATACCAACTCTTCGATCCGGACGTAGAATTTCTGACCTTTGTTGGGTTCACAAGATGCGAGAGGGTTCATCTGATTCCAGTTTACGCAACATTTTCAAAATAATGCCTTCGAGAGTTATACAGTGCGCTTCATGACTATAAAATCACCCTCGAATTTTGCGATTCTGGAGAAAGCAGCCAGAATGGAATTTTTGGCAAAACAGGAAGATTCCTCATCACAATGTACCTCCATATTCAAATTTTGGTCGCAATATCCTTCACCTCAATTTTTTTATGAATTTTTTAAAGATGGCGTCGGCTTTTGCACCGTTTCATACTTATAAGGTCACCCTACGAAAGTAAATGAATTATTATCGT